CACTTCTTTGAGCCTTACAAACGTTACTGTATTGAAACTTTATTGCGACGGATGCCCAGGACAAAACAAGAACGTCACTATCATAGGTTAGTTTTTTTTTGTCTTTCAATGTAATTTTTGTTTTGCCTAAGTAGGTATGCTGATGAAGTGGCTATACTTTACCAGATCTGCTGTTGAAGAGATTCACGTCATCTATCCTATCGTAGGTCACTTATATTTACCACCAGACAGAATTTTCGGGAGAATACAGAAGGTTGTGTAAAGAAAAGAGGTCATAATTAATCCAAAGGAGTATATGGCTATATTTTCTGAGTTTGCGACTGTACTAGACATGGAAAGTGACTTTGATGTTTTTGATTGGAAAAAAGCGGTAGAGACTCGTGTGAAACCACCTGGCCAATGGCATTTTCAATTTTCTTCGGCGAAGCGGATGATAATTAAGAAAGAAGCTAGTTCATCAGGAAAAAAGTCCTTATTAGAGGTGAAGCTAATTACCGCGCCGATATGGGAGTGTACAAGTATGTGCTGAAAAAAGGAAAAAGACTAGCGACTATTATTCCAGAACTATTGCCAAAAAAAGATCCAGTCAATCCATTGAAGTTAAATGAAGTAGATAACCTTTTGAAGAAGAGTAGATTTAACGTTTTATTAAAGGATTATTGATAATAATGATGAAACCGGCTAGAAGCGCCTGATGAAGATACCACTCTCCCCAACGTGGAAGAAGATGGGATCTGATACTGGATATTCCATTTTTAATTTTCTCTTTGATTTCAATGATTTTTTGAAATTTAAACTTACGTGGATATTAAAATTTTATAACAAAAATATTGTTTTACTTAGGTATCCGAAACTCTTTTTTATCCACTTCCGACTTATTCAAAACTTTTTAGATCCATCGTACTGTGTCAAAACTGCTTAAATCCATTTGTTTTTTTTTTTTAATCCTGGCTTATTTCCATAACAATTTTATTGTGTCAGAGGTTTTATTCCTTTACTGAAAAAAATGGTTGAGTGGATTTTAGAAGTTTTGGAAATTGGCTCCTCATTTATTTGTCCGTGATTTAAGGAATTTTGACCCAACTTATTTATTGGATGATTTTACAAGTGATTTTAAAGCAGTAGTACATGTCCTAGAGGCCAAGTGATTTGACACCATATGGCTATCTTATTGTATTATAACCATTACAATATTTACGAAACTGATAAGGCCAGAGAATAGGGTTTCAAAGAAGCTAAAAATGCTCCTGATCCAGGTCGCGATTTATACTATTTTATGTTTGGACATATATTTCATATCAGCTGTTTCTAAAATATTTTTTTTTATTACTTCACAAGCAGTGTCAAGTAGTTAAGGTCAATAATTGATGTTTCCACTTCAGTTTGTGTAAAACCGAGATCTCTTTACTCAAAGGGTATTGTAAATTAATTATGGGTTGGTCTTTTCACATTCAGATAGAGTTTCAGTTAACCAAGAGATGTATCCGAGAGTTACTATCTGACAGATAATTAGGTTTCCGTCTTTTCAAAAGAAATAATCTCTAGGGTAGTTATCTGGTAATGTTTAACGTTCTGTGGTCATGTAACCACCTTCATATCAATGTATTTATAGATGCGTATAAAGGCTAGAGAGAATTAGGCAAATCGGGAATGGGCAAATTGTCGTCCTTCTTTTTATAAGGTTCGAGAAATTCACTGTAGTTGGCATGTCGAACAGCAGCGTTGTCAATTTTCTATGTAAGTCAATGTAAAATGTGTTTTTTCTTAAATTGTTGAAAAGAATCAAAATAATATGAAAAAAGTACCAGAGTACAAGTAACATGAGGAAAAAAACATCAAAGCAAGATTTACTTCGTTCCATATTGTAAAACCGGATATAAATCAGATGTAAAACTATAGAAAACAAGGATAAATCACTTCAATGTCTTTTTGAAGCTTCTAATGTAAGTAAAATAATGTATTTATTTCTAAGGGTCGGTATTGGATATATTATCCGAGTTACTATTTGACAGATAAGTAGGTTTCCGTTTTTTCAATAGAAATAATCTGAAGGATAGTTATCTGGTACTTTTTAATGTTCTGTGGTCTTGTAACTACATTCATATCAATGTATGTATGTATGCATGGGATATATCACTCTCACTGTCTCTTGTTGTCGTTATTTCGTTCTGTCATTTATTTAAAAGAAGTTTTTGTATTTTTTGAATTTATTTATTATTTGAAACTCCATAAAGAAGTGACAAAAAAGAAAAGATCGACCAGACGTCAATAAGCAAGAGGATACTTCAAACACAAAGCAGTACAGCAAAACAAAAACTGATTTTTGGGTGTGTTATATTGTAATTAACATAGATTGTTCTTTAGATTAAATTTGATTTTAATTTTAAAGCTCTTTTTTATTATATCGCCTATATTTCCCTGTATTTTTTCGAGAATAAATGTACAATTATACCAAACAAATAAGTAAACCACCATTTACAAAACACATCTTCAACAACGTCCATAATAGCAAATAAAATAATATGTTGACTCGTATGACATATTATGCCATATACATACTTATCCATCAGTTAACTACTTTATCAGGAAGTTCATATGTAAGATATCTTTCAGATTAAACCAATTTATCTGCCGGTTAGTTTTATCCAAAAGTGAAAAGATGACTTTTTAGGTTATCTGAGAGATAACAATTACCTGACACTTTATCTGAAGGTAAAAAGGCCGATCCTAAAGCAGCAACAGTTTTAAAAATAACTGTACTAAGTTTAAGCACCTGAATTGGAATAAAACTCAAAATTGTGTGGCTTTTCATCCTCTTAATTGCCATTTCCATGTGAATTATGGCTGCTTGCGTTGATAATTAGTCCTACTAAAGCCTTTACAGTGTTCCTATATGCTTGTATACACTGTAGGTAAGTTTAAAAATAAATGTATAGGTACTAAAGTTTATTGATATTGTCAGGGCCGCCGAAAGCCATGGTGGGGCCCCGGGACATTTTTATAAAAAATAAAAAGTTCTCACAAAACGTAAAGCCTCCCCCCTTGTGCCCGGGTCCCAAGAATTTGTCCCCCCTGCCCCTTCCCCTCTCGTAGGGCCTGGATATTGTAACAAATACGTATTCACTCAGTGCGAAGTCATGGTAGGGGAAGCAAAAGCGATACTAGCGCTAACGGCTGATAATTCGTGCATTCTAGGGCGATATTTTGTAATTTAGGCATATGAAATACACGTATACATTTTACTTTTTTTTAAGTAGGTAAAAACAATACAATAAGCAACCGGAGTTGCTGTGTTGAAAATTGTAAGAAGAGTAGCAAAAAAAAAGTGTAAATTATAAAAATTTTGAGTAGTAATGTAGAAATTAAATCAAAGAAATAAATGGATATGTGTACAATAAGAAGAAAAATTACCTTTATTTTTGTAATATTAACAGTAATACTGAAAATAGACATCAGAAATTTGAAAGGTTTTAAATAAACAATAAATAGCATTTTACGATGTTCTTCAAGACCCCTTTAATCTTTAACGTTTAACAAGAATTAGATTTATGCCTTTGATTATTGTATGTGGCTAGAATGCAATTTTGTGACTTACTGATAGGAAACCAGTTTTAATAATTCATTCTGTTTTCTTTCTAACAAAAATGAAAATATAAATCTGTTTATACATTTTAACTTCACGCTATTTTTTTATTTTGACAGAATATGTTAATTCTTCAAAGACAATTTATTAGACTTAGGCAACTTTTCATACATTTTCCCGTAAATTCTGTTGCCTGCCTTTATTTTATTGATTTTTATTGAATATACTTAATTTTTTTAGTGTAAGCAATAAAAATATATAATAATAAATTAATGTTTTACTTGTTTTACAAATTCATATACTTTTATTATAACTATGATATATACTTTTTATTTACGAATTCTATTAAAAATTGTATTGTCAGTATAGGCAAAAATAGTCTATCAGTACAAAAATGAATTGGCGCTACTGTCACGCACGGAACGAAAGAACATACTTCTGATATTTTATTGTCTTGGAACTTCAGAAAATATTCAGTACAATAATTCTACAGTTGGTGAATGGCTGAATGACTGAATGCGACCACCACATTTGTTATAGTTGTCGTGGAAACATTAAATCTATATGCCAGATCAGTACAGGTAAAGTTCTGCCTTAATTTCATTAAAGTTATTAATATTTTGTTGTCGATACTTCAATAAATATTTTCCTGCAAAAAAGCATATAAAATCGATATGCAAATAAATAAACATTATCACCTTACCGTCTATACGCTTTATGTACGTAAAATTATTAAATTTTGCTTTAACAATTTGAATATCCACCTTGTTATTCAAATGGACACTGAACCAAAGTTCCTTTATTGTTATCATATGCAATGACCTTCCTCAACCTGTGACACGCACTAAATGCGTGTATTGATATGCAGTGTATCCCAAAAGTCTTAGTAAGGGCTAATCAAAAACAATAATTAACCCATTCCAAAACTTAAAGAAAATACTATATATAAATGTAGTTGTTATTAATAATTATAGTGAGAAGCAGGGTAGGACTTATATACATTAAATCTAAATATAAATTTTCACAAATTTAATATATGTTTTGTTTTTTTGATTAGCAATAAGAAATATGTTTCTAGATTTATCGCATTTGTTCTTTACCCTAATAAATTAAAGTAAAATAAACACTATTTGTTTAAATAATTATTTGCACTTTTTCATTAGGCGCTATAATACAAAACCATTCAAAAAAAAAAAAAAAGAAATAAATAAAAACTAATTAGGAGTGTTTAGAAAAACGGTATCAATTTAAATTTAATTTAAAATGTGTGAAAATTTACTTTTAGAAACACCGAGATTTTTTAAACAAGATAATGTCAAATATGTCCGTTTTTTGCGTCACATCCACAAAAATGAGGCAGAAGTCTCTAAAATGTTACAGTTAATTAAAAACTGTTTAAAAAAATCAAAACTAAAAAATAACCTCGTTTTACCTAAATCCTCAGTCGATCAGTCGTAGCAAATAAATTATGTGGTAAATGTGTAGAAAACACCACAAATTTTTACACATAATCCTTCTAAACACTCTAAAAAACACCCCTGGCATATAATTTTTGCAGTAGTTAGGATTAAATACCAATAAACGACCTAAATATACTAAAAGCCTGTTTTTTAACATTAATTAGTGTTGCTTTTATTTACACCCACTCCAAAAACATAACACCGAAGTTTGTTATTATTTTGACATCTACATAAAACCAGATCAAACCATGGTTGGCATGATATTTGGCAATTATTAACCTATCATCGCAATAACCTTTTCTGCTCCGTAAATTCTACACACTTTTTCTAGTCGAAAGAAATCAGTTTTGGATGAATAAGTTATAAAAAAATCCTTTAAGCGTGATAATACAGAGAGCTTTTTAGAGTGTTTTAAACGGAAGTGCAAAAATTCTAGAAAAATTTACAAATTACATTATCAAAGATCACACATATTGGAAATTGTCTTTTTGCCTGAGCAGCGGTTGGTGTTCGACGTTCTTTTCCAAACTGAAACTGGTCAACCAATCGGTGCGATCCGGTTTGACGATGCCCAAGCAGGAACATTCGAAAAATTCGACGAGATTAGCGAGGGGGCCCTTTGTGAAGGGGCTACGGCCGTCGTTCGATATGAAATGCGCGTATCGACCACGGTTCATGCGTTCATTGGTCGTCATTCCCAAACAAGTTATCTGGAACAAATTACAAAGTTTCTTGAGTATTTTTAAGAAATGGTGGGTGACTTACAAATTCTGTCAAATTATAAATTACCTCACGGCTAGGTATTACTAGCCAAACGTTACAAAACAGGCAGAAATTAATGGACGACGATAATTCGTTCGCCATCAGTAAAACTAAAAAGATGGACCGTTTTTCGCTACGAATTCTCTCGAACTAAACCGAGTGCCTTGAAATGTGGGCAGTAAGTAATAGTATGTATGAATAGTAAAGTGTGAGTTACCGCGCATGTTACATATGGTCTTTGCCCAAGGGGCCTTTATTATTGGACTACGAATAAATGTAAGATAGAGAACCAAGAATTCTTTTTGAAAAACTACCACAAAACCGCCATCACAGATACATTTATGGGAAACCATTGATTTTTTTAAAAACATTCGAGTACTATTTTAAAGAGCATAAAGTTTTCTATATTTTGATGTATAACTTGTTGATTTTTGACCAAATATTATTCGTAAAACTAGTCCAAAACAATTGTTAAAGCTGTGTTCTGATTATATTTTTTTTAAAATGATGCTGTTTTTTAAAGACGTCCAATATAATATGTACAATTAAACAAAACGAAACTTAAAATAATTTTTTTTATATAAATAACTAATAAGAAACATAATACAAAAATATGACCTAAGAAAGATGGCGCCGACTGAACCGCATGCGAAAATACTGATGAGTGTAATTATTGTAAAAAATCAGTAACTGCTAGTGTAAAATGTGAAATCTGTGACTTGAAATATCATCCATCGTGTGCACAAAGAGTAAATGCTATCATAAGATGCTGTAAACCAAAAGTTATTGAAAAATCTTAGACTATGGATCAAGAAAAAAGTGAAGGTGATGTATTCTGCATTGATGCTTACAACTTTTTAAAATTACTAGTAGAAGAACAGAAACTAGCAAACCAATTAATGCGTGAAAAAATAGAAATCTTTAAAGTTGAACTTAAAAATGAAAAAACGAAATATTCTGATTTGCGAACAATATAACGAAATAAATCCTAAAAGTGTTAATAAAAGACCAGTTTTTATAGAAAAATCAAAACAAACAAAAACTGAAAGTGTGAGTATACCTGTTGGAAATAAACATTTAATACCAAACAAAAACACAAGCGATTATAGAAATGATGTACAGGATGACTCACTCCTCCAAAGGAAACAAGTTGCATTAGAACTAATGAACATTCAAACCCTATAAAAAACTAATCAAATAATAAAGCTAGCAGATAATACCAATGAGGGGAGTCATGAGAATGATTATATCATAGTAACAAGACGGCAAAGGAGAAAAAACAAAACAATTATGGGAAGTGGAGAAGGTGATGATGAATTTAAAGGAAGGGAAAAATCAAACAAAAGATTTGGCTCTTTGTATCTAGAGTGTCAGACACTGTAAATGAAGAGAATGTTAAGAAATACATTCATAAACGCACAAACGCAGAAGACATTTATGTGAAGAAACTAGACACATATTTTGTAAGACAGAATAATCAAGCTTTTCTAGTGGGAACAGATCCTCATTTTCAGGAGCAAGTAAAATCAGATTTTTGGCCGAAAAATATAATTTATTCCCGATTCAACTTTAAACAAGGTCAGCGATTTCTTGAAGATTCACAAAACCAGAGAACGCATAAGAGTGAAGAAAATTTTTCAAACCTAGCCTCTACTTCAAACCTGATAAAATAGGGACCTCAAGGACTACTATGGAAAACCACTTTTTGAAAGAAAATAATGAATTACTATTTTGCAGTTCCCAACAGTTAAATATTACTTTAATGCATATCAATATACAGGAAGGTTCTGCCAATAAATGCTTTGATCTAAATTTAATTTTACAGAAACAAAATGTAGGTATTCTATGTGTTACTGAACATTGGATGATTCTATCAATTTACAAGCTACCTCAATTGACGATTTTAAGCTAGTATTATATTTTTCACGGATAAATAAAGAAAAAGGTGGTGCTAGTATATTTATGAAAACAAGTATTGCTGCAAATTTTGAATCAATTAATTTACATAGGTGGTGTATAGAAGGTGAATTTGAAGTATGTGGTGGAAAAATAAAGATTGATTCTAAATTTTTTTTTATTTATTATTACTGTGTATAAGCCAGCTTGTACTAAGTTTAGCACTTTTATAAATCAGCTAGAGCTATTAATTCATAATATTTATCAAAATGACAATCACTATTTTATCTGTGGTAATATTAACGTAAATTTTTTGATTGAAGGTAATCAAAAAACTGTTTTAATTGACTTATTAAAGGAATTTAATATTAAACATCATATAAATGTTGCAACGAGAACAACAAGTACAACCTCAACTTGTTTAGATAATTTTTTTACCAATTTTGATGTATATAAGGAGGGTGTATATGATACTTTTTTGTCTGATCATAACTACTTATTATGTTCGATTAAACTACCTAATTTTGAAAATAACAAATTTAAATACAGATATAAACGAGATTTAAGTGATAAAGATCCTAACGCAATAACTTTTATAAATATTTTATCAGTTGAAAATTGGCATGAAGTATACACATCTACTAATTTTAATGATACATTTTCTATCTTTTATGAATCATTCCTATACCACTACAATATTGTATTTACGAAAACAAAGAAAGCGATAAAACCACAAAAATTAAAAAATCAGTTTCCACCTCATATTAAAGAGTTACATAATCTATTATGTGAAATGAACAGGTTGAAGAAAGAAATAAATTCTACATATTATACAGAACGTTACAATAATTTATCAAGAGTATCAAAAAATAACAAAACAATATTTGAGAGAAAAAATAATGATCGTATTTTAAAAAGTAATAACGTAATAAAAGAATCCTGGAATATAATAAACGAGAGTAGGGGAAAAAGAAAAAACAACTTATTGAATCCTATTAAACTTACAAATGATGACAAATTAACACCCTTAGAAAAAGTAAATTATATCAATGACTATTTTATTAATGTAAATAAAAATAATATTGTACCTAACTATACTATGAGTATTGATAAATATCATAAAAGTTTTTTTCTTTTTCCAACAACTCCTAGTGAAATCATCACTATAATAAAAAAAACTGATTCTAAACCCACTGAAGGTATTGACGAAATAAATGGTAAAATTCTGTTATCGGTTGCTCATTGTATTGCTGAACTCATATCACATTTGATTAATGAATCCTTTGTTTCGGGATTATTCCCAAATGTGAAGGAATCTAAAGGAATTCCTGTTTATAAAAATAAGGGATCTGCATCTAATATAGAAAATTATCGTTTAATCTGTATATCTAGTCAAATAACTAAAATATTTGAGTCAGCATACTTTATTAGACTCACTAATTACCTTGAAAGTTTTAATATGTTGCCAGATATTTAATATGTTGCCAGATATTTAATATGTTGCCAGATATTTAATATGTTGCCAGATACTCAAAATGGATTTAGAAAAAATAAGTCAACATCTACTGCAACAACGGCCGATATAAGACGTTGTCAACTACATTAAATCTGTAGGCTGGCTCACGAGCTAGGAGATGCCTATCAACTTGGGAGGATGCACAATGGGCCTAGTGAGGCCTGAGTGCAACGGGTTAACCCACCCTCCAGACGTTACAGATACAAAGATAAGCTACATGTACTTACTCCATCTAATTTTAAATTCAGCAAACACACTTTAATCAGCAAAAATGCTTGATACTCAAAGCCATAAACATATAACCAAGCTGTGGGGTTTCCCGTGTATCACTATCTATTTGTACGTCCTAACCATGCCTATCGTTATAATAATGCTGGAACTACGAAAGTATCACCGGTGATTATAATGGCATAATTGCAAACTGTTAAGATCACCAGTGTTCCTTATGGCAGCCAACGTGTTAAAAAACCAATCTATTGTAATTTTTTCATTTCTGTAGATGCAATACGAACCGCGTTATGGCTCGTTAAAGGTGACTATTTATTCGCCAAAAACGACAAATTTTTAAACGAAAACTCTTAGATTAAAAAGTGCTTGAAAAGACCTTCTTATGAAGTCATTAGTATGAAAACTGACCGTGTTATCATGAAAATAAAGTGGTTGTCTTGTTTTTCCGCAAGAAATAAAATTATACGTAATCCACATAAAATTAACTTTATTTGGGCACTAATAATATCGTTAATTTGAAAGAAGAGGATTACATTCCAAAAAACTTCGATTTTGACATTTCCATGAGAAAATATTTAAAATTGTCTTAAGTTTTATGAAGAAAAGGGAATATGTGAGCTTACACGTTAACAGCACCTGAGAGCAGATATAATTTTCAAATTTATACATAAATGAAAGCATAATAATGGCGAATAACGTTAAATAGTTGTAACAAAAACAAGATCATACTTTTGTGAAGAAGAGATATTTTATGTTGTACCACTTTAAATTGGTAAGTAGATAGATTTTTATAGTAATATCTTTAAGGAAAAAGGTTATAAACAGAAGATTTTAAAAGAAAAATAGTTATAACTTCTAAATTTTCTGAAAATAATTTCATAAAATATTGACATACATTAAAGCTTAATATTCTACCATTTAGATAGAATTCCAAATAAGATTTACCAAATAATTTCAATTTACTCTCCTATAAAATTATTGTTTATGAGATATAACGATATATTCTAGATGTTTGAACAGTTTAGAATGCTTAGATTGGAAAAACTTATGTGTTTTATACTATTTTCTCGATTTTGGGCTTTATTTAGTTTTTTTTTTTTTTATTTTTTTGTGGTTGATATAGTTGGTGATTTTTTTTCGTAAAATATGTCAGTTGGTGACACTTAGTTATTAGCCATCTGTCAGGTACTAGCAAAGTAGTTAATGTCAACTGAAATGTCACAAAAATGTCACCAAAAATCGTTTAAGAATAAGCACAAAGTATATATACAAGGAGTCCGAACGGTATAGGCTTTTTTGTAGGATTCATGTACCCAAATATTAAACCAGATCTTAGTTCTTTTTTCTGCCACTGGCTGCGCAAATATTCAGGACGTACCGAAAAGCAAATGAGAATTTAGGAAAAGTGGCTTTATTCAAAGCACCGAAAGAGAGTAACCTCTAAATAATATTAAAAATTTGTTTTTAACAAATGCTTGATTAATAAATTTGTTTAATTTTCAAATAACACTTTACTATACGAGTACTTCTTCAAAAGTGGCGCGCCATACCGGCAAAAAGTCTGTCCCCCAAATTGATGCCATTCATTCAACATTACGTTCGGACTCCTTGTATCTATACTTCGTGGAATGAGCTTCATTCTTCAACGTTTTTGAGTGCGAGAATATGACATTCTTACACCAAAATCGAGAAAAATATTTTTTTCACAATAACTAACACTAAAGAAGATACGCAAAAAATACAGTTGTTTTTTTTTTAATTTCTGCAGTTTAAAAATTACTTGAGATATCACCAATTTTAGTTTGCATTTGAGTGTGAGTACATTTCGCGAGCCCAAAAAAAAAACAAATATTTCTAAGACGAAAGGTTCAAGAAAGAATACAGACCTTGTAGCCTTTGAAAAATGGATTTTTTGAGATTATATATCTTGAAAATTAAGGACGTTTTCCATAAACCAATCGCGTTTTTCGGTGAAAATTTCTGAGCATGTTCCGGGAAAAAAGAAAACACTTAAATTGAATATTATTAAATGATGTAACTTACCTGATACATCTGGCAAACGAAGAGCATGAATACCCATATTGAATGGAACAGGGCGTTCGCCGCTACCCAAGCCACCCACGTGTCGCACTGACCTATCAAAGCGACCGACTTCCAGAAACTGTCACTCGTAGAGGTGATATTGCAATTCGGCGAGTTTTGCCAATACTTGAAAGATCCGTACAACAATTGGACGCACATTATCACCAAGCTGGCCAAGAAACCGATGAAATGTTTGTGGTTTTTCGCACCTTAAAAGTACAAAAAAAAACGCTTTGAGCCAAGATGGTATAGAGAATGGAAATGGAAAATTAAAAAAAAAAAAACGAATAGAATAGAGCATGGACATCGAGTAATACTCACCTATACAGTTAGCCACCCAGGGACAATGATGATCGAATTTAGCAACGCAATGATTGCAAACGGAACAATGCTTTGATCGTAGCGGCCGTCTAACCAAACAAGCGGAGCAAAAATACGACGGTTCGAATCCTCCTGGACCCCTTTCCGCCAATTCAATTATAGTCTGAAAATATATAAATATATAGTGATATCATCCCACAATGAATTTGATATTTTATTTTATGTGCGTTTGGTTTTAGAAATTATTTTGTAATTATATTTTATTTTTTTATAAAATAGTTATTAGGCCAGTGGCTTGAAAAGTGGTGAAAATTTAAAATTAGTAAATTATTGTAATTTTAAATCATTAAATGTATTAATGTGAATAAATTGTATTTCAAAATTAACCTAATTATGGTATCGATAGCGAATCTTTAATTATACTTGTTTTATTTATTTTTCTAATTAGAAATTATTAAAATGATCGCAGGTAATATTTTGTGGGGGGCATTGTTGAATTGAAGGAGGTAGCGAATTTTATAAAAGGGTTAAATAAGACGGGAAATTTACAAACTTTTTGTACGGACTACGAGATAAAGTGGCATTTTATCCCATCAAGGTGGTCTGTGGGAAGCAGCAGTGAAGTCTGCAAAATTTTACATTAAAAGAATTATGGGTAATCAACCTTTAACGTTTGAAGAGATGAGCACAGTATTTTCCCAAGTAGAAGCCGTGCTCAATTCTAGACCTTTAACTCCTATGTTCTCGGACCCTAATGATTTACTCCTTCTTACCCCTGGTCATTTCATAATAGGAGAATTGCTAAAGACAATTCCGCAAGTTGATTTACCGGCTGTGCCGGTGAATAGGTTAAAAAAGTATGAGCAGTTGCAGCAGATGGTTCAACATTTCTGGTCTCCTTGGCAACGAGAATATTTGCATAACTTACAGCAGCGCGCTAAATGGCCTCAAGCTTGTACCTTGGAGCTTAAAGCTGGCATATTAGTCATCCTCAAAGAAGATGGTACCCTCCCCTTGGCTTGGAAGATGAGAAGAATAGTGGCAGTGCATCCAGGTGCGGATAACCTAGTGCATGTAGTTACGCTTAAAAAGGGTGGTGGCTTGGTAAAAAGACCTATACAAAAGATTTGTCCTTTGCCCATAGAACTGGATGAAGAAAAGACTTTCATATAGTTTAATTTTTATTAGTTCATTTTATACAATTTTTGAGTTTTTATAATCGTTTGAATTTTAATGTTAATTATTTGTTTTGAAAGTAGGAACTTTCAAGGTGGGTGACTATGTTGAGTGACCGAATGGTCTAAGGCCCATATAACTGTTCTGTTATTTTGGTACCGTCCAACTCAATCTTTGTAAACGATCTTTATCGATCGTATTCATTCGAGATCTAGCCTCGAGAGAGAGAGAGAGAGAAAGAATCCTGGCGTAACCATTTTTGTTCCATTGAATAAATAATGGTAAAAAAATGGTGATTAATTTAAAACAACAATAACCACTATAAAAAATACGTCTACAGACGGTAGACAAAACACAATCTACATCTGCGTTTGTTTATCAGAGATGTAGCTGTACAGATTACATTTTTTACATCAGCACAGGGACTCCGTGTCATATAGAATTCTACCGGTCGCTTCAATCCTATCGATTGGCACTCTGTGTCTCCAAATAATCGCCAGGAGTCGACTGTAACTATCGCCATGAAGCGAGACGTCAAGACATATAGTTTTCTACTAAAGTCATACATTTTTGTTTTGATTTTAAAACATTATGGCATTGGATCTAATTTCAAATGAAAAAAAGTAACAAACGTAAAAATAAGAATTACGGTAAAGCCATTAGCTTTGTTGTTAAATCAAGTGAATTTTTTATTGTGGTGTAAACATTATAATAGGTTTATTCTGCCATATTTTTTTACCAGCAAAATCTGCTAGGTCCAAGGTGAATCTTCCTGCTGAAGAGGCACATACATCCACAGCATCAGTATAAAAAAGTTAATAATTTGACATCCTTAATCCAGGATATTCCTCAATAAAACAAATAATTTTACAGTATGATACTTGACTGGCCTACAGAGGTCTCCAAACTTACTTAATAATGTAATTGTAAAACTATGTTTAATAAATAATGTATCAGATTTTTATTTTTAATCTTTTATTGTAAATAAGTTAGGAAAAGGTCACAAATAAATTAAATGTAAGCCCTTTTCCAAAAAAACCAATTCACTTATTTTTCTCTTCATTTGGTCGCAGGGTTTCAACATGGGTACAATCTACTGCTCCAATTATTCCGGGAAAATTTCTTGCTTCTATAAAACATAACTAAATTTGTTGTTTTTCCTGTAGAGTTCTAGGAAACCGAATCCATTCCCCTGAGAAGGTGTTTATAATGGCCGTATTTCCTCTTTAGCTCTCGACGTAATTCCATTTAATATATACTGGGACATATCTTTATTTAATCGAAATAACTCTACAAATCTTACATTTTCTATAGAGAATGGATCGCTTATCTCTCTCAGTACTCGCCTATCTATATTTTCCAAACGAAGATGTTATAGTCGTTACTCCTCTTCAACAGCTAATATATTGACCACAAACAAAGGGACCATTATTACAAATCAAAGCAAAAACTAGATAATACAAACTTAAAATCAAAACCAAAGCGGCACCTTATCTGTCAGAAATTGACATACTTGACAAAAAGTAACAAATCTCTATATTTCAAGCAAACATTTTTAGATCGGTTAGTAAACCTCCGAGAATGTCCGATGTTTTGACATGCATGAATCGACTGTCACACGGAGTACTGGAAAAGCGTTTATAGAATTCTACAGTAGAAATCGATTGTAGAAAACTATATGTCGAAAGCGATGGGACACGGAGTGTCGCTCCAGGATTTGAAATGAGATGTGAATGAGATGTTCGATCTATGCCAGAAAAAAGGTGTTCTGTGAAGCCCAAGTTTATCGAGTTATCCTTTATTTATGCTAGCGTGAATATAAAAGTGATTAATGTGTTTAATTTTTGTTTGGATTTCAAATTTAGGTTGATTTCTAGTCTCAAAAGTCAAATTTAAAAAATATAAACTTCTAACTTGGCATTGCCATTTTATCACGTGATCAATAAAGTCTAGAGCGTTTGTTTATTACATCTACATTTAGATATAATCCTCTCACACGATAAAAAAATTCACATCTCAGATGCATCCGATGTAGATATGCAAACGCAGCAAATAAATGGGTGTCTAAATGCATTTCTTGTCGAAATATATATATTATGGGACCCAAAAATTGCTCAAACAACATTCAATCTACTCTACTGAAAAGTTGACTAGAATAAAATAGTACAATTTACCTCCGAGGCATAGATATAATCCTTACACAATTTGTAAATAGAAATATTGTTTCAAATTTACTAGTTCATCGCTATGATCAATCTGCATCGCATAAACATCAAGTATTGTTAATAAGAGCTGTGGCAGATAAGTACGTAATAGTTAGGGTATATCATTTTGCCAATTTGCCAAACAAAAATGAAATTAATCTGAGAGCATAAATAAGGCATCACAGTGATAAGATAGTTTTGTTTAAAGGACAATACATTTTTCTTTTTTAAGAACGTGTTTTTTCTTCCTATTTTATTTTGTTTCAATCTTTAAAAAATGCATTGCCTATTCATATGACCCTAGTTAAAAGAAAAAATCGATTATTGAAAATATATCAAATATCTTATAATTGTAGAGAGTCAGGACATGCTAAGACATCCATATTGTTACGACTCTAAGCCACGCCAAGTGCGACGTTTTATATTTGTATAAAATAATACAAAATAGTGCAGGACAAAATAGAACGAGCGAGATGGATGCTAATTTGAGATGGGATGGTTTGTGGGAGTTTACTTCACGCGATTTATGAATGAATGAGTATTTACGACTATGACGCTTGCTTTATGCTGCTGTCACACTTCAAAATAAATTGCATTCTTTTCTGGAAATCGCCTTACAACTATGATAGTTGCAATGGGAAAAATACATCGAACTGATAATAACTGGCATTAAGAATACACATAATATACTTCTTTAATGTGATTTTGAAAGCCTTTTGTACATTTTAGAGCCTTATGTTAAGTCGATTCCGAATTTATAACCATAAACAATCCGTATAACAAGACTCTCCCATAATATCTCATAATAATTGACAACTACGTGGATAACACCATGAATGTTTTCAATTCGATTTTTGTTCTCAAAATTGGTCTAGTAATTGTTTGTCATTGATATGAGCCTATTCAAATAATTACTTATTATATTTAAAAAACTGGAGATACTCGTAGTTATCTCAAAATAATTATTATTATTATTATTTATAGCAATCAAAATAAATGGTAAGTACACAAATTTTAGATTATTTATATCTTTTTTAAAGTTTGTTGTAGCTTGATACTACTTCTTAAATTTTGTTTTTAGGTCAACAGGAACTGTATCCCTCTTCGAAAAATCGTTAGATCCATGAAACTAATTCATATGGTTTTACCTTTGATATACTTATTTTATGACTTTTTTAAAGAAATTGTTGTATAAATTTGTTGTTCATTCAGCGGTTGCCAAGACCAACTCTCAATTGTTTCAAACTTTTTATCATTAATTTTAATCTAGGTGGTGTAATTTTGATTCACCAATCAAATTTAATGTTTCTATTATTTAATTACATTTATCTAACTTATTTGCTAGTTTATTTTAAACATATAGTTTACTATTTTTCTTATCTTTTTATAGGTGTTATTTATTATTTCTTATTATTATTTTTAGTCTTTATTAATGTTCCCAAAATTTTGATCGGTAGCTCTTTATTTCTAGTTTTTCTTATTTTTCTGTCACCATAAAGTTTGTCAACCACTCCAAAAGTTTTATCATATACAGGGTGTTCCTAATTATTGAAAATAAAATAATCATTTAATAATAAGTTTATTTGTTTTAAATCTATTAGGTATACAATTTAAGTGATTTTGCCTGATGAAAGAATAATATTGAAGAGTTCTATTGTTATTATGTACTCAATTAAGTTTTATGAATTCCTGGTACTGAATATTTTTAATTTACATGAGATTAAGTTAGTTTAAATTAATAGACTTTTTCCTTGCATTATATTTTAATTTATTATATTGACTCTTTATTACCACTGTGGTGGATTTACATATTATATTACTTTGGACTTTACTTCATTATTATTTTAGGGTTTAGGAAATCCATTACAATATATTGTTCTGCGATCTATTTTCGACCAATCCAGTCATACTACAATCCCTTAAGTCCTTCTCTGCCGTGTTTGGGCCTTTTACGACCTCCATTTGCCATTACCAAGACTATTCAGTCAAATGAGTCAACCTTCGAAACCCTAATGATTCATAACTCTGGAATGTACAAGATAAGGTATTTCGAAATTACAGTTTTTGGCGAAGGCAATTAGTTTAGTCTATTCTAGAAAATGGTGCATTCATGATGTTCATGGTGGTTGCACGATTATTGTCTAGAATGTTCATAAAAGCCACGTGTTGGTATAAATAGTCTGTTGGAAAGGTAAGTTCAAGTTAAGATATCGTTCAGTACCTACACATAAATATTGTCCATATAAATTAGTGTATCAGTAAATTATATATAAATTAGTGTAAATAAATTAACTTTACAATATAAGTGTAGTCATGATCAAATATAATCAAACTAAAACATACCCTAAACTGCAATTGTTGTGAAGCATTGACAACGCCAGCGTCGCCCAACCAGGATTTTAGGAAGCAATACCACAACAGTCCCGAACTCGACAGGAAGACGGCCGTCAAAACGACATGCGTTACAGGCATAATGTATATCATCCACGTGACATAAAACCACATCTTCGTCGATAGGTAAATACTCAGCGGTAGCAGTGCCATCAGTCTGTCGTCGTACAATAACTGCGCCACGTAGTGTACCACTATATACAAACAAACTAAAAGAAATACTTTTATAAGGATTATTAGATTTGTGCCTAGTATCGTGCCCGCTATGTAGAAGGCCATGAAAGGGGTTCCCACCATGCACCACCATCGCATCCTCTGAAAAAAATACGACCAAGATTAATACTCACGTGATGGATCCATATAGGTGGTGGATCTTATAGTTCCAGTTAAGTACAGTCCTATTTCTTTATTAAAAAATCTAACTAAGATAGACTTATTTTATTCTCCAGTAATAGTGGTATAATTTATAAAACATCTTTTTGTTACACCCTGTGTAAAGTTGTTTATAGTCTGATGGGGGTAGAAAATTCTATTTCCCTTATTTGTTATTTAAATAAAAAAAGTAAAAGTTCAACAAGAAGAAGTTAATGGCGCAAACTACCTTTTCATAGCTCAAAGGTTGCATAAATGGATTGATAGATCTTTATTTAATTTAGGAAACCCTAATATAAACCATGATATACATAGAATAAAAACCAAACACCAAACAAAAACATGCTAAAATTGAAAAAACAACATAAATACAAGTTTTGGATATGTTCTTTAATCAGTAGTTATTTTAAAATTAGAAAGAGTGGTACATTTTTTATAGATGTAGGTAATTGACTGAACTTGCGGAAAGCTATAAACAACAGCGAATTCATTGTGCTTCGATAAACAGTTCTACTTATATCTGTCGTTTAAACCTCTGGTATTATATGACAATATTTCTATTAAAAAACATGTACTCCTGGAAATATTTAGGTGCACAACCATTTAGGTACTATTTTGAAAACCAAAAATATGGTGAAATAGTAGTCTGTTTTCAACAGATGACCAATTAAGGGAATTTAACATAATTCCAACTGGAGTATGACGATTTGTTAATCGAATTATTCTCATCCCACGATTTTGCAATTTTTGCTACATGTTGAGATCGAATAAGAATACATGCACAATAGTCAAAAATGAGGTTGAATAATAGCATTTACACTGTGATTTTGGTCTCCATTGACAAGTTTTGAGATATTTGGCCAAAAATACAGCTTTTTTCGATTTTGTAGATATGTTCAAAGTGAGTATCAAAACTTAAAACATTGTCAAGCTGAAACCCTAAATATTTAATCGATGTGACAATTTGAATTTTTTCATTAATATACAGGGTGAGTCGGGAGGAGCGCACCAAACTCTAGGAGTATATTATACACGTGAAAATAATGTAAAAAAACTCATATGTTCTTATCCGATTTTCATTTGTTTTCAAGTTATGGCGTAATTAAAAATGTTCATCTAGCTTTCCACTTCTGAATTTTAACATTATCAAAGTATGCCATATGTTCAAGGCTCAAAGGCATTTGATAATTCTAACGTTTTGATGAACTGTCAGTGTACAGTGAACAGTAACTGAACGTTTAATTTCGAATTTATGTGATTGTTAGTGTTGCAAAATGCCAGATATTTATTCAAATTTAGAATATGCAAATATGGTGTTTGTTTATGGTTTCTGTAATGGAAATGCTACAGCTGCTGCTGAAGAATATCGTCAACGTTTTCCACACCGAAGACATCCTGATAAAAACGTATTTATTAGAGTTTTCAACAAATTGTGCGAGACTGGTAAGCTTCCCAGTGCTTTCATAACATCTGAACGCGCTACTCGACAAGGTTTTGTAGAAGTAGAAAATATTCTGCATCTAGTAGAAGATGCAACTACCATCTCACGGAGAATTGCCACTCAATTGGGAATTCCACAAAAAAGAGTGATAAACACACTCCACAAGCAAGGCTTATATCCTTATCACGTACAGAGAGTACAGCACCTACAACCACAGGATTGCGCTAACCGTATGGAGTTTTGTCGGTGGATAAATAATAATCATCGTGTTTTATCGAGTATACTCTTTACGGATGAAGCTACATTTACCCGTGATGGCATTAATAATACTCGTAACTATCATGTATGGTCAGACGAAAATCTCCACGCAACAGTCGAATGCAATTTTCAACATCGGTTTTCTGTAAACGTGTGGTGTGGTATGGTTGACAGTCATTTAATTGGCCCTTTCATTTTGGAGAATCGTCTCACAGGAGACAACTACCTCAATTTTTTACAAAATGAATTACAAGGCCTGCTAGAGGATGTTCCTGTAAATATTAGAATGCAGATGTATTATCAGCACGATGGAGCTCCTGCACATGTCGCTCGTCAGGTCAAGCAACATTTGGACGAACGTTTTCCAGAGCGTTGGATTGGTCGTGGAGGTCCTATTAATTGGCCTGCAAGATCTCCAGACCTCACACCATTAGATTTTTGTTTATGGGGCTGGATGAAAAATGAAGTCTACAAAATAAAAGTGGACACACGGGATGCACTAATTAGACGAATTGAGAATACTGCAGCCCATATTAAAGAATAAAGAAATGAATCAATTAGGAGAGCAACAAACGCTCTTCGTAGACGAAGCAGAAAATGTTTAGAAGTCAATGGCGGTATTTTTGAACATTTATTGAAAGAACGCTATGATTAAGAGAATTTTTATGTGTAAATTTGTTTATTTGTTAATATGCTATAACTTGAAAACAAATGAAAATCGGATAAGAACATAAGAGTTTTTTTACATTATTTTCACGTGTATATTATACTCCTAGAGTTTGGTGCGCTCCTCCCGACTCACCCTGTATAAATGTATGCTGTGTTAGTATCAAGTAAGCTATATTTATAATTCGTGGCGAAGATCATTGCAGTTTTTTTTTTCTTTTTAAACATTTAACTTCAATTTGTTTATTTTCAAACATTGACTATTCATTTTCTGTTTGCTTACATCCAAATTTTCATCACTACAACAAATGAAGGTATCATCGGCAAAAAGGTAATGGATTCACAAAAAGGTCAATATTGTTAATTTATAGAATAAACAGAAGTGGGTCTAAAACACTACCTTGTAGAATTCCTGCTTCATTATCCATTTCAGATGATACCTGATCATTAAAACGTACTCTCTGTTTGCAGTATTCTAAACAATTTCTAAGCCACTCAATCACTGTACCCCCCATACCGTACTGCTCAAGTTTAGAAATCAATATTTCTCTGTTGATTGTCTCAAAATCCCTTTTTAAATCCAGAAACACAGTGACAACATATTTGTTTTTATAAAAAAAAAATTATATGGCAAAGTCTAATTTTTTTTTTTATGTCATCGGCAGCAACTGCTACGATTATTAGCCTCGTGTTATGTATAGGCTTTGTTACTTACTGTTTCCCAGCGCCACTTTAGGAACAGCACTGTTAATTAGTACCCAACCGTAATTAAAATTTTATTTTTCGTATTATGGTCCAATAATTAATAAGCTTCCCCACCTGCATAGAGTTTTATTAGACCAAAACAACAATTCAAATCTCATGCTCATAATGTATTATGAACTCGGCGAAAGTAATAGCGTCTTCGATTCTAGTGCACGGCTTGCACTGAGTGCATGGCTTGCACTGAGTGCATACGAAAGGTGGGAGATATGTCAATACCAGTTACTTTTCAATCTGAAATGTAGCTGGTCTCGATATATCGCTCATCTTTTATGTGCACTCCACGCAGGCAAGGCAGTGGAATCGAAGACGCTATAAGAGTGAGGACAATACATATAAAAAGTGCAACATGCTTGTTAAAATTTTATAGAAATTTTATGTAAAATTGATAAGAAGAAGCAAGGTGAGTTTATTTTTTTTATATTAATTATATGTAATATTTGTAAAGTTAAAATTTTATATGCAAACCACATAAATAAGTGTTGTAAAATTTGTTAATTAATAAACTTAAAGATTATGTTAGTACCTTCAAATGGAGGTGTCAAGTACTGGTACCAAATTTTAAGTAAAAACTAGTAGTTGACATGGATGTCAATTACTGGCTCATAAACAAGATTACATTTTTATGTTTTGAAAGTTTTCTATGAATTATTCACATTGGTGAGTAAACGGTACCCTATTTTTCTGAAGTTTGTATTGTTAATTGGATCAATAGATGACACCCATGTCAACTATTGGTATATTCGATGTCAACTACTAGACCAGTGGTCGCCAACCTGTCGATCGCGAGCTACCGGTAGCTCGCGGAGGCAATTCTGGTAGCTCTCACAACGATTTTAATTTAAAAATACAAACTGCAAAAATCAGAGAAGCCTCCGAAAATTCCACAAAAAAATCTAATTTTCATAATATTAAACATAAACAGCGGCAACGTTGCGGTGAGCGATCTGCCGCTGACGCCATCAAGCTAGAATCGGCTAGAACCGACCAGCTGGACCAGCGCGTTAGTGTTCGAGAACGATCAGGATTGCTTTGAACGGGATAAATACGCACGGCGCGGCGACATTGCGCTTAGTTTAAAACTGAACGCGTAACCAACGTCCAGCGGTTGGGTTAGTAGAGAACAACAAAAAATAATATTATGGCAAGCAGTTGTAAGAAGGTAAAGACATACCACTTTCATTCGGAATGGGAAGAACAATACTTTTTTACAGAAGTTAAAGATAAAAATGTGTGTTTGTTATGTAATACTTCGGTCTCCGTTGCTAAAAAAGGAAATATTGTGAGACATCATAAAACTGTACATTCTAATTTTGAAAAATCATTCCCACTACATTCTGCCGCCAGAAAGGAGAAACTGAAACAGTTAAAAAAGCAGTTAATTGGACAACAATCAATATTTTTAAGAACAGTCGACAAAAATAAGGCTGCAACTGAAGCATCGTACCGTGTGTCCCAGATAATTGCACAAAAAAAGAAACCTTATGAAGACGGGGAAATGATAAAACAGGCGTTTTTAGAAGCTGCTAATTCGTTATTTGCCAACTTTAGAAATAAAGACGAGATAGTTTCAGCTATAAAATCTATGCAACTTTCTGCTAATACAGTGATGAGACGTGTAGAAGGATAAAGAAACCTACGAAAACGAGTTGATAGATCTGAAATCGACACTTTGTTATCGAAAAAACCTAATGACCACAAGTGTGTTTGACTAGAACCAGGAAAAAGCCTTTCAAAAAATGTATTAAATAAACGGGAAGTGCAAAGTACTTCTTCGAAAAACATATTAATATTAGGCGACGAAGATGCTATTAAC